GCCAGCAATCAGATCAGTATATTAGGACCTGTCTTTAATAAGGCATGGAGTTTGCTTGCTCATAGTGCTTTCTGTTGCTTGCTATCATGGTCATACACTCAAAATACTTTTTTGGTTGGTCATTTTTTTGTACAACATGGGCCACAATCTTATCGGTGTTAGTTATGTTGTTTATTTCTACCTGCTTGATACTGCATCTAATTCTCTTTGTATGCATGTTTTTCAAATCATAGAATCATAGAATGATTAGGGTTGGAAGGGCCCTTAAAGATCATCTAGTTCCACCCCCCCTGCCATGGGCAGCGACACCTTCCACTAGACCAGGTTGCTCAAAGCCACATCCAGCCTGGCCTTGAACACTTCCAGGGATGGGGCATCCACAGCTTCTCTGGGCAACCTGTTCCAGTCCCTCACCACCCTCTCTGGGAAGAATTTCTTCCTGATATCTAATCTAAATGGTCTTAACAGGCCTCAGGTGGCTGGCAGGGCTGGCTCCTACTGTCCTTGGATGCATTTGTACTTTGTGCGTGTCTGGGTGTGGATCAAGAACACACTTTTGAAGGGTAACTCCTGATGATCCCCACCTGCTCCCCAGTGGAATGAAGCAGAGGTGTCCCAGAGCACCTTCTGGCTGACACTGGACCAGAAGATGAGCTCCAGCTGTGAGGCCTGGGGCCCCAAGCTGGTCTGGAAGCAAGAGCCCTTTCTCCTCCCCAGAGCGAGCCCATGTCTGTGGGTGCTGGGCCTCAGCTTGGTACAGCTGCCCCTGCTGCCCTGCTTGCAAGTGCAGGCCTAGCTTGCAGCTACCCGCGTCAGTCCCAGGCAAGGTGTGCTGATAAGGATTCTGTTTTTCTTTCAGAAGGTAGATTGGGATGTTGAAATGAAACCATAGGAGATCCTTAGCTTGGGTGAGATGTTCCTTTTACACCTTCTGTTTATGTCAATTATAATTCAGTATTCCTCAGTTTGATATATCTCTGCTTTTTACTAGGTTGTTTATATTAATAGGTTAGGCAGGATTTAATCAAATATCTGCAAAAATTTTTGTGTTAGTCCAATTTTCTTTGCCCACCATTCTGTAATCTCAAAAAGATTTGTTTTAGGAGCATCTACTTCCCACATACCATGTTGTGGCTGTAACTGCTCTTGTCTTTTCACCAACTGCTGTCTTGATCAGTACTAGCATGACCTAGACTGATTTGGATAGTAACCTCTCTAATGCAAAGGTAATTCTTTAAAACATTTTTAAGTTCTGCTATACTTTGTTAAAAAAAAAACCCACCAAAACAAAAAAAGAAACAAACATAAACAAATAAACAACAGCCCTCCCTCCCCAAATAACCCCCCAAAACCCATCTACCCCTCATCCCCACCTCTCTGCACTCATCTGATTTTCCTTTTTTTTCTTTACCGTTTCAAGTGATAGAAAGGAATAATAAAGCCCAGCACTACTGATGAGGATTTCCTGCTTTTTCCATAATTATATGTTTCTGTAGATTGAAAATGTTTGACAACTTTTGTGTCTACTAGAGGAACAGAGATTTTCAGCAGTAAAGCAAGTAGTGAAATGGTCGTCCTTCCCTCTCAGTACAGAATGCAACCTGTTGTGGTAGATAAACCTGAGGAGTTTTTTCTATAGTTTCCCAGTGTTGCTTGGTATTTCGTACAGGTGGTTTTGAGCAACTGTTGTTCTGGGTTATTTTTATAATCTATCTCCTGTGCAGATCTAATGGATAAAGCTTGAAGAATTCTGCTTAAGCAGCATTTAATCTTCATTATAGATAGGGGATGCATTCATCAGCACTGAATTTACACTTGGATCAGTCCAGGGACTTTGCTTTTCCATAGGACGAACTGCAAGTTTTATGTAACTGACCTGGGAGTTGCCAAGTTAGGCTTGTTGACTGAGGTTAATGAATTTTGCAGTTTATACAAAGTGTTGCTACTGCAGTGTTTTGGTGTCTGTCTAAAAAAATCTCTTTGTGGTCTGAGGTGGGTAGGAAAGCAACAGCTTTCCTCTGTGGATCTGCTGGGGTTTAGCTGATTTGAGTCATTTTGGGCTCTGAGAGTATAAATGAAGGAGGCACTGTACTAGCTGAAAACATAGCAGTTTAGTTCTCTGGTAGTTGACTTGTAAATACACTTCTTCCTGCAAAATAATAATCCTGACTTGCTCCTTATCCACCTTACAATAATTTCTGTATATATCTCGTGTGTTAGCTGACAGTAGTTAATTCTGAAAGCACTTACGTGACAGAAGGCAGCTTTAATGTTTCAAATCTCTCCGATAATGTACATCCATCTGTTCTTTAGCGAATGCATTGCCTCTTTGCATATTGATGATTTCTGATGTAGCACTGCTTGTAATTAAATTTTGATAATGCATTTTACAGGCTTATGGAAAAACCGAGTGGAGTTTATTCGTGCAATTCACAGTAAAACTGAAATCACTTAGACTGAAGCTAGTATTGAGAATTGGCGGTCACTACAAAAATGCAGGAATAATTAAAAATATCTAATAGTACTAGTGTATGTTCATTTTTTTAATTGGCTGGACTTTCATTTGGGTATATTGACAGTTAAAACTGTTATTTTGGTCACTTAAGCATTTAGCAGAATCTTGCATTGTATTACCTAAGCATTTCAATACTGACCTTTCACGTTGGTTGCTTGTAGATACAAATTGAAAATATGTATTAAATTATGGAAACAAATGCAACATTTGCAGTTTCATCAAATAAGCCCTAAACCAATAATTAATACATATATTTGAAATAATGCTGTTGATTCTGACAAAAAGCAATTAACTTTTAATCTTCATTCATGGTTATTTAGAGAATTGGTTGTGGTGGAAGCTAAAATTGCTAGAATGTGAAGATGTAAATTTTTTTTTTTTATTACTGATTTCTTATATGATTTAATGCTTTAAAAAATCCAAATCTTTTCTCTTTCACGAGAAAGTAAGATGGTGGTGTTGTGATGTTCATAATGCCTAAACTATGCCTGATAAATAGGATGTACTAACCTCAGATTAGGTATGCAACCAAATTTGACATTTGATGAAACGGAGTTATGAAACATCACTCCAATATGCTAAGGTTTCCGGGCTTTGGGGAAGAACGTTAAGTGAAAACCTTTCTCTTGGATGCCATCAAGAGTGCACTCTTTCTCAAGTGCTACTTACTATGTATAGAACATTAAACACGTTCACTTTTGATGGCCCTTGCACTCAAGGTTGGAGTCATTAGCTTCTGGTTTGGGTCATGTGCACCCCAGGGCCCTAGTGCTTTTTCTCCACTGGTAAAAGCAGGAGTCAGCACAGCCTCTGCTCGCTTCCGTCACGTCCTTGCCTTGACAATACCTAATACCTTGTCTGTTGGTGTTAGCTTTTCATTCTCTGGTGGGAGCTAATTGCTAGTGGACACTGGAACCCATTTCTGCTTTATGAGCTCCTGAGGTTTCATTTGGGGGCAGTTGTCATCTGGGTAGATAGATGGAAACGTGAGAACCACATCTTTAGGAAGTAAGTAACGTTTCCCTGAGGAAGAGGGAACAAGTGTGCAGAATCCCATCTATGAATCCTTCTCAATACAAGACTTGGAAAACATCTGTAAATGTGTTCCTGTGGCTTTTATGGTATAACACAATGAAAGTTACCTTAGGGCTGTGCTTTCTTCCTTCCTCACCAGTAAACTGAATGTTTTTACAAATATCATGAAGCAGAGTTAGAGTTTGTGTTCTGCACCTCTATCATCCAAGGCTCTAGGGTTTTTTTGTCTTTTTTTTAAAAAAAAACTATGAGATAGAGGACTTTTATAAAAAAAAGGAGGGGGATGGGTTGGGAGGGGTTAGGAGACCGTCTGTCTGTACTGAAGTACTCACAGAAACTTACATCCTTCACTGCTCCCCTTCCAGTATTGCACTGTGGTTTCTTAATCTCTCCCTCAATGTAGCCTGCTGAGTGTGTGGTGTGGTCTACGGGCACCCAAGGGCAGTGGTTCTATACATGATGAAAAAGCTAGTTATCTTCTCTTTGCACACATTTTCGTGTGCAGCCTGTGAATCTGACTAATTGTTGCATTCATGTCTGACTTCATCAGACTACTCAACACATCACCTGAATCTAGGAAACTGGAGTCAGCATGTGCCAGCCTCAGAGGTGGTGTAACTGGAAATCTAGTACAAAATTTAATATCTTGCTAGACTGTGCTATATCCTTCTGTTCTTGTATATTGCTTTCATGTCCATGTGCTGCCAAATGTGTGGGTAATTTGGAAACTCCATCAGTATTTTTCAAGTTCTGTTAATACACACCTAAATTTGACAATTTTTTACCTTCTCAGTCTCATTTAGCAGTTCTTGTAGCTTCTAAGAGTTGGAGAGCTTTATTGTGAACAGTGTTTTTTGCCAGGTGAGCTGTGTGCTGTTTCTGGGCTGAATGGGCTACCTAGTGATGTCTCTTGACCACTGGGCATCTCTGTAGCCAGTGTCAGGCTTGGAAGTCATCAGGCTGTATTCTTCAGCAGGTGTTCTCTTTTTCATTTATCTGAAAGAAAATCATAGTTACAAGAAATGAAGCTTTCAGTTATACCTGAAAATATGCCTGCTTTTAAGGCATAAGACCAAAAGCAGTTCATCATTTGTGAGTCATATGTAAAGTCTGTAATCAAAGGAGAGGGGAAAATATAATGCCATTTGAAGATTATCCTTGTCCAATTCTTAGCAAGTAATAACATATACTTTGATTTTCTGTTAATGTGTTAATGGTGCTTGTGGATCCTCTATGAGGGCAAGTAGTTCTTCCAAATTACTTATTGTTTCTTGGAATTTGAAGTTGTTGGGAGTAATACAATGAAAGAAGTTTTCAGTGCTTAATCTAATTAAAAAATGTAATTTTTCTAATTTTTTTTTTTTTTTTTTGGTCTCCTTAGAATGTGAAAGCATTTGCATCTTCAGATAGCCTAGCCAAGGTCCAAGAAGTAGCAAGCTGGCTTTTGGAAATGAATCAGGAACTGCTCTCTGGGGGCAGCAAGAGGCGACGAACTGGTGGATCTCTTCGAGGTAATGCTTCCTCAAGCCAAGTAGATGAGGAGCAGATGAATCGGGTTGTGGAAGAGGAGGAGCAGCAGCAAAGACGACAACAAGAGGAGCAGCACATTGGGAGGAATGGGGAGATAGGAGGAGAAGAACCTGGATTTGATGACAGGCATGAGTCTCAGCA